CAAAAGTTTGAGTCCACTTACTATGTTTTTATTATAAATTTCAACTTTAACAATTTTTAAATCCTTAACTATACAGTCAAAAATTATAAAATTCAAATATATTATATCTTAATACTAGTTTTATTTATTATATTTTTTTCAAAAATTTTGATAATTAATTTTTAAAGTTTTATTATTGTTAAAAAATTTTTTTCTTTATTAAATTTTTACATTTGGAGAATTTTGATTGGCTGTTATTGTAAATCATATGATAATTAATAAAAAAATAAAGATATTTTACAATAATAAAACTTTAGAATGTATTAATAAAAAATTTTTTTAAAAAATATAAGAAATAGAATAAGTATCAAGACATAATATATATAAATTTTATAATTTTTTGACTGTATAGTTAAGGATTTAAAAATTGTCAAAATTGAAATTTATAATAAAAACATAGTAAGTGGACTTAAACTTTTGGAAACAATTATAGATGATAATTATATATTAGTAGTGATCAATAATATTAATATAATTGGACTTTGTAATTTCAAAAAAAAAAAAAATTAATTCAAATCAATAAAAAAGCAAAATATCATTTTTAAATTGCATCTAAATAAATAATATATAAAAATTATATAAACTATAAATATCCAATATACTATATATACAATAAAAATATATTATTGTAGATTAAAAAAAAAAAGTTATTCTCTTAACAATTAAATATAAGAATATTAATATATCCTGTAAATTCAATCCTAAATATCTTTTTAAGAATAATTTCCAATCCTTAAAACTATCAATTCTAATAGTTACTATAATAATAGCAATCGATCATTGTAAAAAAATTTGTATTATAACAAACTATGTATAATTTCGACCAGAACTATAAAAATTAAAATAATCTTAGGACGCTAGTTAAGTAGCATTTCTCAATTTGGTCCTTGGCAAAAATAACCTTTTATTTTCCTTTTGACATTTTTTACAAACTAATTATGTTGTTCGTGACATTATTTTATACCAAGATCCCTTTTTTTTTTTTTTATATAATAATCCCGATCTTAAAACGCACATGAATAAACCACAAATTCAAATATTTACATATCACCGTCAAAATAATGATGATAATTGATAAGGTTCATAATTTTCGACTATATCCTAAAAAATTCATCCGGTAGTCACGAATGTTGGTGACAATAAAAAGAAACGTAAAATATACCGCTATTGAAAGAACTCTCAGAAAGTGACTTCGCAGAAAAAAAAAAATAATAATAAATACACAAAAAAATTTTTTTTGATGTGAAAGATGGAAAACTATTTACAACTAATCGCCAATAAATTTGTAGGCAATTAAAAAAAAAAAAGAAATAACTGCATGAAATTTTAAGTGAGATGAGATCACCCGAAAACAAAGTTCGTTAAAAAAAAAAAGTCCGTTGGTGATGGGTTAAAAATGAATGACGGAATATAAACTGTGAGAGAATGGATGGATCGTTTATAGTAACAAATATACACGTTTTGGAATAACATATAGACATGAAAATATGTAAAATAATGTGACATAGGATGAATAAGAAAAGGTTTCAGGAGGTACCCGTGAGAAAATATGCAATAATAATGGTGATGTATGGCTAGTAGTATATATAATTTGTGCTACATCATATATTGAGTATGTCGAATATCGAAAATAAAAAATATATAATGATATTTACGTCATATATACAATATGATTCGTCGTTGCTAGAGAACCAGAACCGATGATGGTTGATGGTGATGATAACAACAAGGGTAAGTAGAATCTTTCATTTCCAGTTCCTCTCTAAAGTTCCGCCTCCAGCCGCGACCTCGTTAGCAACCTTCTTCGCCAAAGCCATACGAATGTCTTCTAATCCATCGATATTACTTCCTCCATGCAACAGGTTACCGCTACCAATGCTATTGCGAGTACTTGACAAGTTTCCACCGGCACTGGCGCTTGAACCCATACTACTGCTCGCTGAAGAAGTACTAGCACTGCGCATTAATGTCACTGGCTTAGGCAACAAAGGGGGTGGTGTTGAGTAGTTCGATTCCTCTAGAGACCTACTACGTAAAGATACTCCGGTCGTGTAAGTGAAGGGTCTTACATCCTGAGAATTAGATGACGATGTACGCCCGTAAGCTTTCATAAAGTTTACGTGATTCTTCGAGGATGCTTCAGCACTAGATGAACTTCGAGAGTGTGACGCAGATCTCAACATTGCAGTTTGATTCTTGAGCCAACTACTTCGCTTAACACCAGATGCCATTGATTCAGAGTTACTTTTAGTATATAGTTCTTTAATTCATCGGTAAACTTCCGTGAATATGAGGCAATGGCAGATGATATTGATAGTGCA